ATTGGAAAGAGAATCAGTTTGGTAGAAACATTCTTATTCTTTATAAAGAAGACAGAAAAAAGAACCAGTAACCAAAAATCTTTACCTATCCAAAATATCATTTTTCTGTTAGGATGAGAGAAAGATAAGGCACTTGAGAACACACCACTCAATTACCTGTTCGAAGAAAGTCCTTGAGGAAGGACTTCAACCTTTTGCCAATGGATTCAGATAATATCTCTCAAGATAATGGGAGATAAAGAGGAAAGTGTGGTAACAATTCTTGCAATAATTAAGCCTTAGTAGGTGATTTAAAAATTAACTGAGAATTTATTGTATAGAGTAAGGATTCAACAACTGAGAAACATGGAAAAGGATAACATAAGCATAGTTTGAAATTAAGAATTATAGACTACCTGAGTAAAATTTTGTGGCACAAAGAAGTATTCTAAAGATCTCCTCTCATTGGGGAAGGGCAGATAACTGGGGAGTAAGAGACCCCAACAGTCTCTTGGAATGTCAGAGGAAAGAGGAGAGGGAGCAGCGATCAGACAGACATTGGTGGAAGGCATGTTATTATTTAATAATTGATGTATTAATAGAATGTATATTTTAAATTACTATCAGGGAAGGGACTGTAATTACTTGTGACATCAATAAACACAATTTTTATTTCCAAATTAACTGGGGAGGAAGGAAAAGAGGAAGAAGGAAGAGAAACGTAATCCAGCAAAACTTAAGGGAACAGAAGAAACTGTAGTAAATTATAGTAAATACTAAACATAAAATCAGATAAAAAGAATAAAAGCCATCCCAGTAAATGCAAATGGACCAAGTACCTGGCCCGATGCCAAGTGCTGGTGAAGCATATACCCCCTTTAAAAAAAAAAAAATACTTTGATTATCTGACATAGGATGCAATTTGAAACTTTAAAATTAGAAATAATCAAAGAAAGTTGATTTTTATCCATTTAGTTATGAAAGTAACATTTATATTTTAGATTCTGTTATTTCCTTATTACATTTTTACTGAGAAAATTACATATTTTTTTCCCCCAAGTGTTTAGTTACTAAGTGGGTTCCAGAGATATTGAGCAAAATACGTAAAAACTTTTTAACACAGATATTAAAAATATGCGATTGTTTTCTCAAAGTTCTAGCAAAAACTGGCTCTTTACTCAATTTTTATAATAAGCAATTTCCAAGCTGTTTATCTCATGCAGAGTTGATTGTTTTTATGGGTATATAATGCTTTTCAAAATCCATTTAACATGTTTATGTCTTGTTAGATAAACTACTAGAAAATTATTTACTTTATCCTTGTGTTAATTGAAGAGGTATTTTTTTCAAAAAGATGGATTATAAGGAAGGAGGATATTTTCTTAAACAGTGTATCAAAAGAAATATTGTATATAAGACTCTACATATACTGATGAAGTAAGGTATTTAAAGTCCAGTTATATCTTCCGATATTTCGTCATTATGGAACTTTACAAAAGAATTTCAACAGGGAAGGAGAGCATAAGTGACCTTTAAGCAGATAGTGACCAAGTTCATGTACATGCAATTCAGCTCATCTATTGCACCACTGAGCCTAAATCAGTCTTGTTATTGCATTTGAGTTGCAATTTCATTTTTTATTATCTTATAATGATTCCATTTATTTATTTGACAGAGAGATAGAGCACAAGTAGGCAGAGCAGCAGGCAGAAGCAGAGGGAGAAGCAGGCTCCCCAGTTGGAGGTGGGGCTGGATCCCAGGATCCTGAGCCAAAGACCGACACTTAACTGACTGAGCCACCCAGGCATCCCTGAGTTACACTTTAAAAATAAGTATTTTTTTCTCTTCTCTTCCTCTTTATCTGCCTTTTTTGTTAATCTTAAAAGTTTCTGACATTTTTCAAAATCAACTCCAGCTTTATAAATTGCTCATGACTAAGCATTGTCCAAAGGAAGATCCACACCAAGCTAATAATGTCTTTGTGGTAGCTCAGAACAATTGTTTCCTGGGTCTCTAAAATCTGTTTTCTGTAATCAAAAAGGGTCAAAATCTATTCTCACATTCTCATTTCTCTCTGATATCCAGAACACAGCCCCCAAGTCTTTGATTTTTTTTTTCCCTTTGTTAGTCACCATGCAAAGAATTATACAGCTCAATAAAATGAAAGACTCAGCACTGTGTGGTTCATACAAGTGGCTGAAGGGATTTTGAGATAGGTTAATGGTTCCGTTTGTTTTCTCATATTGATTTTTAGGATGATTATATTTTATTTATGGGGAAAAACTTGGACTTGCATGTGAACTGCCTTGAGGGTAAACGAGGCCTCTTACACGTAGAAAAAATTTATGTGAATTTGTAATGATTTGCAGGAAATAAAGAAAGTAGAATATGGTTGTAAATAATTCCTTTCATTTAAAAAAAAAAAAAAAGGAACTCTGATTTTAGGAAACCCATTTGGACCTAGTGGTTGAATTAGTACTGACCATTGAACTGACCATTTTTAGTAATCAACAAAAGGTCGTCCTTTTTGGCTCGGGTCCAAAGTAAGGTCAAAAGGATTGATCATCTAGTGGGGTGGAGTATAGAGTTGGGGAAAGTCCTCTATATTGGGTGGGTGGGAGGGCTGGTCAACCCTTCAGTGCTTAGTTTTTGAGATTACTTACAGCCTTTCAAAGATTTCTGCAAATGCAGGTCACATTAAGGACGGATTGTGCTAGTTGCGGAATCCTGAAATAAATGCATCTCTCTTTGCAGTACTGGCTTGAATTTTTTGGATCTATTTCAAGTAGAGCAGATGACTAATCACCCCCTTCTGCTAGTTGATAATGGGTTGTCTATAAAACCTTGTTTTTGTATGGTTACCTTATTGTGAAGTTCACGTCTTTTGAGGAACATTCACAACTGAAAAGCAAGGAAAATGTCCACTCTAGGGTGTAGTAAAGCTGACAGGGAAAAAGAAAAAAACACTAAATGACTTGGCTCTGTTGTTTTTGAGTTTCCTGAGAGAAAGTGGCCTTGACCCCCATGCATTACTGCTTTTGAGATTGTAACAGCAGATGGTACAAACTGACAGTTCGTGAAGACAACTAAAGGTGTTTATAACATTGCAGGGTTGTGCAGGTGACTTTAAAAACAAAGGATTTGGAAGTGATAAAAAGTGGAGACTGGCAGTAGAGATGGTAATAAAGCCACTAGCTACTTGAGGCAATGTCCTTTTTTATTTTTTTTTCTTTTATTGCATCTGATTGCAAATTAAATTGGGGGGGGGGGAGGATTAGCCCCAGGCAGAAAAGAATATTCAGCCCCTGCCTCAGTGGTTTTCAAAACAAAAAACCGTAGTCTTTGATTTTTAGATTTGATTTTTTTTTTTCTTTTGCCTGCTGGTTGCCATACAAAGAGATACAGCTCAATAAAATGAAAGATCCACAACGCTGTGTTTCATAGCAAAGGCCTGGAGGGATTCTGAGCCAGGTTAATGGATATGATGGTTTTCCCTTCATTGATTTTTAAGATGATTATATTTTATTTATAGGTGAGAAAATAATAGTTAATCTTAGATTTATTGAAAACTTATTGCAAGGCTGCATAAATTGATAACAATAACAGTATATTTAGGGCAACAAAACTAGACTTGTCTTTAATCCCTTAAGTGCTGATGTGCAGGGAATCTATTGACTTGAAATTAAATATGCTCTAACCTACAACTGAATCCAGGTGGGGAAGAGTTGTATTTTTCAGGCTGCTCTGAAAGATTTTATTACACAAAGCTTTGGTACACCCGAGGTGTTTCTTTTGTAAAAACTATGTAGAAAATCTAGGAGCTGAAAGCTCGGGGATATCGGCATGTTGCTCTCTGCGGGCTTTAAGAACTGACTTCCAAATCAGTCCATCATTTGTCAGTTAAAAAGCCTACTGGTCAACCGTAATTGTGTCCAGAGGTTTGAATCTTAAACCAGGATGTGTGTGTTCTAAGAGGCAGAAAAAACTCGAAACATCAGCTTATCATGACTCAGAACTCCATTGCCTTAAAACTATCTGTTTTCATATCTTAAATGAATTTGATGCAGGCAGGCTAGGTCTGAGGACCCAGGGGAGGGGCTTATAGGACAGTCAAGAGAGTCCCTGGCTTCATGCAGGACTGAGATCAAAGATGAACCAAAGAAAGTGAAAGCAGAATTTATTGAGTAACATGAGTGACAGAGAAGAGCAGAGGAGTGTCTGGGAGAATTGGAAAGGAAAGGAGAATGAGTCTCATTGGTTGAGGCTAGGGATTTACATTGGAAAGGGGTCTGGGATACTGCTCCTTTAGAAGTCCAGGGTAGGGTCCAATCAGAGGCGAGTGTCAGATGAACAATAGTTGTTATTCTATAAACCAGCAAAAGTAGAGGGTATTGATGCCAGCCTCCCCAGAGTTTTGCTCAAAGCTCCTATCCCGGAACAGGTTTGGGATCTGGCTCTTCTTAGACTTTATCGAGTGTTTTGGGCCTAGGACAAAACTCAGAGAAAGGTGAACTTTTTTGCTTTCCCCTTGAAGTGGGAACATACCTTCTTTGGCTTATTCAGAAACAGGGCCTAGCAGAGAAATGGCACAGCCAGTGCTTTCTGAAATGGAGTCCCTTTGGCTCCCCTATCTCAAATTCTGGAACCTTTTGTATTTGGAGCAAATGAATTCCCGTTAGCCAAGCAGGGACAGTAACCTTACCCGATCGGGCTAGAACACTGGGTCTTTGTCTCTCAAAAAGATTGAATAATTGTCACTACAGCTCTGTGACTCAGAAATTTCAGCTCCAGGCCCTTGATACGCACTGCTTATCCAACATGGAGGAGCAAAAGCCTACTCTCCAGCCATTTAATTAGTCAAAGTTTTCCAGATAATTGGATGTTTGTGCAGAGAAAGGAGAAGAAATGCCTAAAGTGTGCTCTAGCCACAGAGAACTTTGACCACTGAGTCACCCAAAATAACAACACAGCATTGTTTTAAAGTATTTCGATGTTCACTTTTATTAAAAGTTCCATATTGGACTTGTTTTGCCAGTGTGTATACTAAATTTGGATCAGTATACAGATTAGCATGACCTTTGTGTAAGGATGAAATGCAAATTCGTGAAGTATTTTTCTTTTGCACTTTCAGCCAGAAGTACAACATGTATGGGCGAAAGCTAAAATGACTTAACATTATGTTACACTTTACACTGAAAATGTATTACTGTGAATGGTCTATAATTAAGCCCAATGAGACATCTAGGGAGTCCACACATGCATCAGTGAGCAGATGTGGTTTACTTATTTATAGAATGTTTCTTTTTGAAAAAGTAGTGGTGGATACATTTAGATCACATTTATACAGCTATAAAAATAAAGATTTGATTATGGTCATTCTTCCAAAAAAGTGCCATGTTAACTCATGCTATAGCTAATATGAATGGTAGAAGTTGACTTTTGTCTATAAACTGAGGTATATTAAAAAATTTAAGTTTATTGGAACAGAAGTGGATTGCAATGGGCCAGCACTGAATTTCAGTGGCTGGGAGTGCTTTGCTGACAACAGCTAAGGGAAAGACTTGTGAAGAGAAGTGGAAGTGAAGCAAGAACATATTAATTGGCTATCGTTTAGGCATTCGCCTTATTTGGGAAAGCCAGGATGGCTGTTTGTGACAGGTTGTCCTTAGGTTTTGATTTCGTAACCTTGACACATTTTAGGCTTAGGGGTTGGTTTGCTTCAGCAGCCTAGTACAAGGTATTAGAACCACCTCAGTCTACTGGCCTCCTTGTTTAACACCTGCAAGGCTAGTGTTCATTTTCAAAGTACACGATGGTCTTGTTTTCCACAGAATTCGACTTGAATGCTCAGTCACTTTTGTTTAAATGCAGTGACAGGATATGAAAATAACTTCCCACCACAACTACACGTACAACCATCTCCGCAGAGCAAACCCACATTCTAAGATGGATGCCAGGAGGCATCCTGTGTCAGTGTCCAGGATGTAACCAAAGTAGCAGAACAGAGAAACAAAAGAGTAATGGGATTAATGAGATTTCCTCTTTCACTTGGCTATTCTACATTTAGTGGATTGTTATATGTTATTTGAAGTTCTATATTTCAGTGAAAAATGAGACTAGAGAAAGGATGTGTTAGAAGTTTTATCTCCAGTCCATGAGACTCTATCAAAAAGGAAAAGTTACTTTTTAAAGACATTTTAATAAATGAATAAAATAAATATAAAATTTTACTCATTGATAAAGTCATCTTGCATTTTCCTGCTAGGAAAATGGAGAAACTCAAATCTTTAAGCTATACATGAATTTAAAAACACAGGGACATGGTATTTGAGAAATAGTTAAAGACCAAAAAAGGAATTTGCTTTTTTTTTTTTTTTTAAGATTTTATTTGACAGAGAGAGAACAAGCAGTGGGGAGGGGCAGAGGGAGAGAGAGAGAGAGGGAGAAGCAGGCTCCTTGCTGAGTGGGGATCCTGATGTGGGGCTTGATCCCAGGTTCCTGAGACCATGACCCGAGCTGAAGGCAAATGCTTAGCGACTGAGCCACCCAAACACCCTGGAATTTGCTTTTAAATAAGAAACTGACCCAGACCTTGAACACACACACACACACACACACACACTCACATACACACACAATATTTCTGCTAATGTTTTTAATTTAACTCCATTCTTCCTGGTCCCATCTTGAGTTGTCAATAAATTGTCCAGAAAACTGCAAAAAAAAGCAACTCTGGTAAACATTCTGTCTGAGCCAGGATGATAAAGAACATGAAGTTTCTCTCATGGGGAAGCCCATTTTCTCAAGATTTGAGGCTCACTTAAAAATAGTTTGCAATTGTAACAACAATCATGTTTTCTCAAAATGTGTAGTGCTTCTCTGATAAGAAATTCTCACCTAGATGGTCTAACTTAGTTTTATCTTAAACTTATCTAAATTTCTCCCTTTAATACTGGAGTGCCTGGGTAGCTCAGTTGGTTAAGCATGTATCTGCCTTAGTCTCAGATCCTGGGTCCTGAGATCGAGCCCTGCATCAGGCTCTCTACTCAGCAAAGAGTTTGCTTCTCCCTCTCCTTCTTCCCCTCCTCTGTGCTTTTGTGCTCTCCCTCTCTTCCTCTTTCAAATAAATACATAAAATCTTTAAAAAAATGAATTTCTTCCTGTAATACGGAATTACAGAAACTAAAACAGGGCACTATAGTAGGTTTTCTTTAACTGAATTTTTTTTTCTGATGTCAAAATTTATAGAGTTCTTTTTTTTTTTTTTGTCAAAAGTTTAGAAAATCTAAGTGAACAAAAAGAAAAGGCCATTACTTGTGATTCTCTAGAGATAATTTCTGTTAACATATGAATACACGGTTGGAATTATACATATTGCTTAGTTACCAGTTTGTTTTTTTAACCATATATAATGAGAAATTTCTTTTAAACAGACAAAAAAAAATGCATAGACTGTTCTTTCAAATGATTTAAGTATTTTTATTTTATTTTTTAAAAGATTTTATTTATTTTTGTGAGAGAGAGATAAGAGAGAGAGAGAGCAAGGATGAGTGGAGGAGGGAGGGGCAGAGGAAGAAGCAGATTCCTCACTGAGTGGGGAGCCCAGTGTTGGATTCAGTCCCAGAACCCTGAGATCATGACCTGAGCCAACCTCAGACATTTAACTCTCAGTCACCCAGGTGCCCTCAAATGATTTAAATATTTTTTAATCACAGTATGTCAGAGTGCACTTGTTCTTTTTGGCCAAATCATATTTCTGTTAAAATGTGCTGTTTTCCAGTTTTTATTTCCTTATGATTCTGAAGATGGGTGTTTAATTGGATCAGAACAATGCATATTGCATAAGGTTCAACTTATTATCTTTAAGTTTTATTCCTGTGATATTGTGATATAATAAGAAACATGTATTTTGGGCTTCATCCCATGCTCTTAGCCAGAGCTCCTAAAATATTTGTGATCCTCTTTTTTCTAAAGATTTATCTACTTATTTTAGAGAGGGAGGAGGAGCAAAAGAATCCTAAGCAGACTCTGTGCTGAGCTTGGAGCCCGACTCGGGGTTGGATCTCAGGACCCTGAGATCACCACCTGAGCCAAAACCAAGAGTTCGGAAGCTTACTGACTATGCTACCCAGGCACTCCCAATTTTTATAATTTTCTAAATGATAAGAACAATAGGAACATCTTTTGTTGTAACATTTGCCCCTGACAACTGACTCAATTTTGGAACATAAAAGTGAAAGGAGCCTCTTTTGTTATTTGTAACAAGCCCCTTTCCACCACATCTGGCTGTATGTTTTAAAGTGACTTTGGGGGTGGAAATACCCTAAGGATGGGGAACTGGTTGCCAGTTCTATCACCCATGTGTTTAGAGGGTTGGAACTTTCAGGCCCCATCCATACCTCCAGGTAGGGAAAGGAGCTGGAGGTGGAGTGGATTACCACTGATTAGCCAATGATTTAATCAATAGCCAATGATTAAATCAATCACACCGATGTAATGAAGTCTCCATAAAAACCCCAACTAAAGAGGTTTGGAGAGCTTTGGGGTTGGTGAGCACATGAGGTGCTGGGAGGGTGGTGTGCCTGCCCAGAGTGGATAGGGGAGCTCTACCCCTTCCCCCAACTCTGCCCTATGCATAACTTCCATTTGGCTGTTCTGGAATTATAATATTTATAATAAATGAGCAATAGTAATTGAAGTGCTTTTCTGAATTCTGTGGGCCATTCTAGCAAATTATCGAACCCAAGGAGGGGATTGGGGGGACACTCTATCTAGAGTTGATTTGTCAGAAGTACATGTGATAACTTAGGATTTGTAATTGTCATCTGCAGTAAGGGGAGATCTTGTGGAACTGAGCTCTTACTGGTAGTCTGTGTTAACTGAATGTAGTTAACGTCAGGATGGTTTAATATGAGGGGACAAAAAAACCTTGTATGTTTGGTGACAGATGTGCTGTGAGTTGGGAAACTAGCTTTTTAATTCCTGCTCTTGGTATCTTATCTCAGCTTCTCCTGGCAAGTTTTCCAATCTGGCATGCATTTTGTATACTAAATAGACTTAATAAAATTTGTGAATAAATGTTACAAAGATATGTGACCATTCGCAGTAATAATTACAGCTCTCGGAAGCCTCATTTTAACTCTAAGTTGACATAAGACATTAATATTTCAAGGAGAATAAAAATACTAAAAGTCTGGTCTAATAATTTATGATAAAATATTACTTTTTGATCCTTATTTATCTAAATAATACCCCCTCATTGACTTAGCACACAAGAATTATAATTACAAAAATCATCGTTAGCACTCAGGACAATCAACTGAAAAACTCAGGATTTCTAAGAATACATTAAAATCATATAAAACTGCTTGCCTATATGCCAGAAATAACCACTTAGAAACCATAATGGAAAATATTTCAATTTATAATGACATCAATTATATAAAATGCATGAGAATAACCTTAACAAGGTAAAATATGATTGGTTTCTCTGTGAGAAAATTCTGATTTTACTCCCTACAGACCTCAAAGCAGGACTTAGCAAGTGTTCATATTCTCTCCATAAATATACTCTTCAAAATATTTTGGAACTCTGTAGGATTTACTAAAAATATCATTGACTTTTGGGAGGAGGGTTTACATGGCTTTTCCCACAATACCATTCTTCCTCAGAATGTCTTCTCTCTCCTGCCTCTTTTTTGGTGGATTAATAATTAAATCAGGGGAGGTCCTCTTTTGACCTTTCCCCCATGCAGCCTTTAATCTTGGAAACGAATAGGGCATGTAAGTGGTTCAAGACATTTATACATAAAGCACTCACTGAAATAGTAGGAGAAGCATTGTTTTTAATATATAAGTGGAAAATGATATGAACTGATAAACATACACAGGAAATGGAGAACTAATAAACTTATGACAAATATTAAAAAAAAGAATTTCAAATAAAATAAGCACATCATTTCACTTAATAAATGGGCAAACATTCAAGGAAAAAGATGAACATGTTCATTAAGTTTTTGTGAGATGTCACTTACATCTTGGTGGTAGTTGAAATTGTCAGTATTCCAACAAGGATTTTGGCAATATTATCAAAAATCTAAAATGTAGCCGATTTCCTTGACTT